AGAAGAAAAATAGAACCAAAAGAAATCCCTAGCTGTTTGAATTCCCGCCTACTTGTTGTATTTACCCGGCAACTTGAAATCTTAGTGACAACCCTGCACATGCATTTATTTTTTGGTACAGATTGTGTTTTTTTTAATTTGGTAAATTCTGATGGAGTACTTTATTTTTTTGTCTGTGTGGTTTTAATTCTTTATGTCTTTTAGAGGAGTTATGCTCCTTTCTATTGAAAGGCGAAGACATGCACTTGCATGTGCAATGCATGGTTAGGTTGAGTAAAAGAGTACATTGTATAAGTAAAACTGAAAACTATTGGTAGAGTAGGTTGGTTGGTAATACTTTATTTAAAAATTCATATGATAGTAGAAACAAGCTAGCCCCAACAACACTTGGCTGGTTTCCATGGAGGGCGTGTTAGATGTAATTTTTTGACCCCGCTGAAGAAAACCTATATACGTACATGTATTTCCTGGGAGGTCCATAAGGGTTAAAGTCACATGTTGTTGAAAAGTACAACAATGTAAAAGAGGAAATTACTTATAGGCAACAAAATCACTGCTTTGTGCCAATCAAATATGTACCAGTACATTAAGGACATACCATCCAGATCTCTTTCAAAATTTGCCAAATTGACAGCTGTTAATAGAGCATTTAAAATCTGCTCAGTGAAAGAAGGACTCACTGTGCCTTTTTTCACCCTACACCCCCATTATTCTAAGTGTTTTTGCCTAAGTTGGACGAGAAATGTTTGAAACTGGAGCAACTTTCAAAGATTATTATCGTATAACCAAAACTATGAATATTTCTAAAACCTACAGCCCATTTGGTCTGGACTACATGTATATTTTTTTCAGTAAAGTGACTTCAAATTGCCAGATCTTGGAAGTACATACACACAGTGTACATGTATGTAATGTAAAAACAAAACGGACCATTTTACTTTTATCTCATACTTACATGTTTCTCTGTGGCTCCAAATGCAGAGTTTTATTTCATACTACAATTCACATTTTCTTGTCCTTAAAGTATGTTTTCTGTGTAACCATTATAAGTAAGAAACATCCCATTGCATTCACTGTTGTTCTCGTTTCATTGCAAAAAGACAACAAAGGCATTTCAGCTTTAAGTGGTCATTAATTTTACTGCAAGGGACTGGGGTAAGTTTCAAGACCAACACCTTTTAAGCACACTGGATGGAGTCTGCTCATGTACAGTAGATGTCTATTGAAATAAGAGCAAATAAATTTACAAGTATGCTGTTTGGGCAAATATTAACTTACAGCTGTACATGTGTAAATATTTATAATGTAAATGTGTCTTTGCCTCTAGTCCTGCCATGATTAAAGACATTGGATGCGAATGGGTTATTTTGGGGCATTCTGAAAGAAGAAACATTTTCAAAGAAACTGATGAGGTACGTGATATCAACCAGTCATAAAGGATGAAAATGTTATCATTATACAGGGGTGTGTGGAAAAAGATCCTTAATGACTCCTGATCTGATATAAAATTCTTCCTATGTTCCACAATCAAATTAGAAGAAGAATTTATAGCAGCCTAACAGAAGTCACCTGTGGCTATCTATTTTAGGGCTAATTATATTTTCTGGCTTGAAATGTCAGTCTTTGCCAACACTGAGGTCATGCCAGGCAAGACATGCTAGTTTACAAAATTTATGTAAAAATCGCTCAGGTTATAGCCGAATAAATACGGCATCACTGAATAGCCTCAATAAACCTTGTAATTCAAGATAAAAAATAGAAATACGGATTAAAATAGTTTTAAGCTAGTTTGATTCTTAATTTCTTTTGTCTGTTAGCCCTCAGTTATTCATGTTTGTTACATGTAGCAGTCTCATCAATTTTCTTTGGCTCTTTACCCTAGTTATTCATGAGCTCAATGAAACTGAGAATCAAGTTGTTTTAGCATCATTTTAACCTAACCAACCACCCCCAAGTGTGATGAAATTATATATAGATGTGAAATACAACTAAGAAATGCTCAGAAAAAAAAAATCTGAGCCCCCAGTGGGTTTCAAACCCAGGACCTTCCCGGTACCTGAATTTTAGTTTTGACAGTGATGTCTACCTCCCAGCGACATGTAGCTACATGTACTAAAATGAAAATATCCCTGGTTTATGAGTCTAAAGAGGTGAGGTTAAAGATTTGTTTATACTGAAATAATTATATTAGCTTAACCAGCTACAATGTGCAGTGTACTTCACAGGCACCCCACTAAAATAACTTAGAGGCAAATAATCCAAAATAGAACTGAACATATCAGGATTAAACACCCCAAACAAAAGGAGGCAACCAGTTGGCTTATTTACAAGCATGGCCCAGAATTTGAACTCAGAAGGATCAAGAACAAATCCAGCAAGTGATCAGAGCAGGACTCCAACCCGGAATGTGGGTTTGATGCACTGACCATTCGGCTACAGTGCCCCCTAGTTATTAGATCAGTGCTGCTGATTTAAAATCCTTTTTTGTACCATTTTCCTCAGCTTATAGGAGAGAAGGTAGCACATGCATTATCTGAAGGGTTAAAGGTGATTGCTTGCATTGGAGAACTGTTGTCTGAGAGAGAGGCTGGCAAAACTACAGAGGTGGTGTCACGACAGATCAAAGCAATAGCTGGTATGTACTATTTTTGTTTGCTAAAAATAGAGTCTGCAGTGTAATGCAGACTTGGGAAAAGGAGAGATTCTATGGACAGGCAGGTTACCCCACCAAGGCGGGTAACCTCACCTTCCTGGTGTCCCTTATCTCCATGCAAACAGGCCCAAGTTTCTGGACTGAGAAATGTGGGTAAGTAGGAGAACATTTCCCTAAGTGGTCGAAAAAGAAAACAAAAACTTATGTCAACAACAACAACAACAAAATCAGAAAAAGACTATAACAATTAAGACACTCCCTTCACACATCCTCCCATTTCAAAGATGGAAAAAATGTTGCGCTGTACACAATGTGGCCTTTGCTTAGCTTTTTGTTTGTTTTCTGTCCAAGTTTGTAACTCTACATGTACATGACTTGTATGCCCTTAAGTTACCAGTTGTCATGTATACAATCTACTCTGTTGCTATGTTAAGAAGAGACTTATTCCTGGAGTTGCATGTTATCATCTTTGTGACTCATTTATTTCTTCTTATGTGCGTTGCTTACAGACAATGTTTCTGATTGGAGTAAAGTGGTGATAGCTTATGAACCAGTGTGGGCAATTGGTACAGGAGTCACTGCCACACCCCAACAGGTAAGAGCCAGGAGTATCACATATTGGATTGGTTCTGTGTCACACTTTGGTGCACTGTGAACGAGTTCGAGGGCTGAAGCGGAAGTGAATAAGTAGGAGAGAGGCCTGGAACCCACTGAGACGGAAATAAATATTCAGGGCCCGTTTCGTCAGAGATGGTCAAGTTTAACCCAGGATTAAGCCAAATTTTAAGCCGGGTTTTCTTGTCTAAGAACATGCAACTCAACCTTACAAAATTTGTTAATATATTAATACCCTTGAGCTTTTGCTCTGAGAGACAATAATGATAACACAAAATGTTGCTTTAAGCAGTGCATAGGAAGGTAAATACAAAAAGTGGAACAAAAGTTTAATCCTAGATTAACACTAATCGGCCTTTCAGGAACCGGGGTCAGGAGTGAGAATTGGGATTTGGTTCACCAAACCCCTTCGGCCAATTGCAACCGCTCCGGCACAGAGCTCGATGTGCATGAACGACTTGTTCCAGTTACGTGCCGTTGCCATTAAAGGACAAAAAAAAAGAAAGAAAGTGAGATTTTGGGAAGCTTCTTGATTTTGGGGTTGGGTGCAATCACCAAATGAAGTAATACCGATACACAAGATTGAAAAGACACTGGACGTGTCTTCAATAATTTATGCCAGAAATTGCCGCTTTAATGATTCTGGCGCTACGCGATTCTCGTCGCACAGGAAACGAGACGCGACTGGTGACTCACTTTTGAGCGGTACTGTAAGCCGCGAGAGACCAGGTCGAGATGGTTGTCCAGTGCATGGTGGTATTGTTTTGGGGACGAATTTTCAACATGGCGGCAAATTCGTCAGCCAAAACATTTCCACAATGCACTTTGACAACCATCTCAACCCGATCACCCGCGCAACCTCAAAGTGGCGAATAGCTAACCAACAGTAGTTTCCGCAACACCAAAAAAACCTCCCAATTTTGGACACTGAAACGGAGGAAAAAAATTTCCTCTAACAGTATCTTTCTTTTCTGTGGTTGTCATTTCCTTTATTGATTGCAGGCTCAAGAGGTACATCATCAGCTTAGAGGTTGGCTCAAAGAAAATGTGTCAGCGGCTATCGCTAGTTCAACGAGAATTATCTATGGTGGTAAGTGAGCTAGTAATCGGTCAGTGTGTTCGAATACCCCGTTTAAGCGCTATTGTGTAGTAAATTCGAACCCTGAGAAAACAGACGACATTTCGCGACGCCATCACTGGTTTCCCCGCAACAGTAGAGAGCTTTAGATTCTAGGACGAGGACGACAACGAGTACGAAATTTCATTTTCTCAATACTGAGTATTACTCTCGCGTGAACCAGTGTCGTTGTGGCGGGAAAACGTGATAGCTGTCGTCATTCTACTACGAGTTTTGGCGAGGTTAGAGAGTTTTAGATTCGAGGACGAGGATGACATTTCACATTAAGCTTTCTCGCCTATTCTCTTAAAATAGACATCCCGGAAAGCTTCATTGTACTTTTTTGGACCACAAAGGTTAGTTCGCTTATTTCGGTTAAAGGAGGTAAAGCCCTCTCCCGATCACTAACTAAATGATAAAATTCCTGACGTTTGATAACTTGTTTCGCCACTACAACATTCTCGCTAAAACTCGTGGTAGACTGACGACGGCTACCACATTTTCCCGCCAAAATGACGTCGTTTCGCGCGTGTGCAGTACTTAGTATTGAGAAAATCTCGCTCTCGTAGTTGTCCTCGTCTTGGAATCTGAAGCTCTCTAATGACGCCGGTCTGAAGAACAAGCTTAGAAATTCCGTTCTGATCACGTGTGACTTCCCAGATCTGGCTATTATTTCTGATTGATCAAGCAAATTTTCAATCAATCAGAGGCACAACCGAGGTTACCAAACGGGAGGGAAAAAACCACCCAGCAACAAATTTGAACATGTCATAGTGCCAGCCACTCTTCCAAAGTCAAACTTTTTCTGTACGATTTACATATTCATATTACGCGCGTTATAAAAGATCCATTGTCCAGTTGTCCCTAGTTATTTTCGTTATTGTAACGTACATTTTTATATACCTATTGCATTTTTGTATATAGTATATTAATTTTTATTTAAATGTTTCTGGTTCTTTTGCATATTCTTGTATATTTTTACTTACTAATTTTTTAAAGGGCCGTAAGTTAGAAATCGTAAAAGGCATTTACGTCTCCTTCTTGAATTGAAGTTATTGTATTGCACTGCGGGATAATTAATGACCCAAAATGATAAATCAAGCTGTCATCAGGGGCACCCTACGACTGTTTTCTGTAAAATATATGTTCGGAGGAGCAAATATTGATTAGAATTTTCGGATCATTACGTTTCTACCCCACCCATAAGCCAACATTTTGCCCAAAATGAGAAATAAGTGATAATGCGAGAGAGGAATCATAGAAAAATTGTCACTAATTGCATCTAACATTTTTGAGAAAGTTATACTGAAGCCGTAATAATTTTAAAGAGAATCAAGTTGCCCTAGGATGACCGAACAGATACAAATTTTAGAGCGCACCTCAGAATGCATATCTAGAGATCTAAAAGTACTCTAGATAGCCTAAAATGTGTTTTCAGTGTATTTAGGAGGAAAACCGTCTGTGGGTGCCCCTGTGTCATAACATATCATGACTGTTTAGTTGCAATTTCAAACCTGAGCGCTCTCTTGAAATTTGATAAAAGGCTTATCTAACTTACTTTTCTTCACTCACAAACTTCAGGTTCTGTGAACGCGAAAAACTGTCAAGAGCTTGCTAAAGAAGGTGACGTGGATGGTTTTCTTGTAGGAGGTGCGTCCTTGAAACCTGAGTTCGTTCAGATAGTTAATGCAAGGCTGTGATACCACGAAACGTCTGCAATACTCTGTCATGAGAGGAGCTTGTAAACCACCTAAGAAAAGGAGAAAAATCTTGTACTAGGGTGTTAGAGAATAAAGTTTAAGAGTATAAGTGTTCATGCAAGCTTTATTTTCTGTTTTGATACAGTGCCTTGTGTATTTCTTTTTTCCTTTCTTTCGTATCACTAATATGATTTTGTTATTACATTTCGAGATAATTGAGTGTTAATTGAGTGGATATTGAATTATTTGTATATTTTATTGTGATTTTTGTTTTTAAAATCTTTTATGAGGATCACAAGTTTATTAGTCTATGGCTATTACGAGCTACCCTCCTTAAATAAAGGCTCCTACTAATTGAGTTCAATCCTAAACATAATGATTTTATTAAAAACTGAATCACTGGATAATACAATTCTAGAACTCTGATTGGCTTAGCCATCATGGTATATGAGCCATTATACCATGCACTCCAAATATGGTAAGTGTACGCGTGTGCTCAAAATTAAAAACAAGCTAAAAATCGGTTGTTTTTACAAATAAAGTCGGGAAGAATTCTCGATATTTTGTGGGCGTTTTTAATTAAACATGCAATTATTCCACTCGCGCTTGTTGGATATGAGATGATTATCGCCGCTATGATTATAGCCAACTCGGTTCTAGGCGCCTCGTTGGCTATGTGTCATCTCATATCCAACGCGCACTCGTGGAATAATTGTTACCAAAACCCAGCTAGTGGTCTATATCGATGCTGCGTTCTGATTGGTTGAGCTACTATTAGGCTATATGTTATAGCCCACCAGTAGCGAAAAGCGCGGGCTTTTTGTCGGCAAAAAAGGAAAGTCTAGCGTTAACTAGCTAAATTTTTTTATTCTCGATATTTTTGACCAACTAGTTGGATTTTACTAAAACAATTATTCCTCTCGCCCTCATGGCCTCTGAGTCATAACCCATTCGGCCTTTGGCCTCATGGGCTATTGACTCAGAGCCCATTAGGGCTCGAGGAATAATTGTTAAATATATAGTGGAAGAAGGAGAATTCTTATACAAGAAAGCTCAGAAAAGTTCGGACGCTCTAACCACTGAGCTAATACAGGCTCTATGGCGAACACTACACCACTCACACTACACCAGTCACACAGGATATGTTTGAGGTAAACCGGAAAAGGACATTTCTATGTTTGGACGCTAATGTTGATACTCTGTTATCGAGAAATAAATGACGTGAATAGTCCTGAGTGACGTGCGTAGCAACTCAGAACAGCCTTTTGTGGTTTTGTTTTTAAATTGTTTGTTTGTTTGTCTTTGGTCAAGCGGGTTTGTTTGACGTTTTACTACCCACCAAAATTGAATAAGGTCAGGAGCCGATTGCTCCTGATAAGGTAGATATTGCTTTTTTAATGGCCTTTTAACGAGCTATAGCGAAATCTCATGTTTTGTAAACAATGTTTTTGTTGTTAAAATGTGCCCAACAAAAATCCCATTTTTCAGGAGTCAATAAGCCTATGATTGATAACAATAAGTGACGTAACGCGAATCTCGCTTATAATAAGATCAAGATCGCGTGATATACGTCAGAGAATTCATTTGGCGGAGCGACAGTTTTGGCTTAGAAAAAGAAGGCTTTTTTTGCCGATTTTGATTTGCGTTCAACAGGAACATCAGCGACTGAGTGCCTTCGGCTACATTTAAGGTTTTTACGGGTTAATTAAAACGATTTGTCTTCTCTATCGCACAACTTGAGTTGCAAATATTTTTGTATCACTTTTCAGACTTTTATAGCGTTTTAAAGTTAGCAGAGGGGTCCAGGCAGGGATTTTTATACTTCTAGAAAAAATTTTTTAGCTCGCTTCATATATGGAGGAAGGTAGTATTCTTTCGGAAATTTATACCGCCACTCATTGAGTCTAAGTTTCCTGGATTCCGCTCCACTGATTATTTTAAACCTTTGAGTAAAGTCAACCTGGCAAGATTGCTCTTTGCACGCTTTCAAGAGTCACGCGGAAAACTTAAGTTGGGGCATCTATCACGTCTATGAAAAATAAAGAATAATTTGCATTGCAAAGCGCTCTTCGCTATTTGGTTTGCATAATTTATCATGGTATTCAAATCAGCTCCATTGTTAAACCGCGTGGCAAAACACAACACAAAATCATAACAAACGACGCCAACGAATGCGGTACGCGGTATAAGAAAAGTTTTTACCGGTTTTTAAAGGAACTTATGGCCTCGCCGGTCAGTAATTTTGATCATATTTTTAGCAAGGAGTCTATCTGTCCGATTTGTTTGGAAGAGTATGTGGAACCGAAGGTTTTACTGTGTTTTCATAACATTTGTAAGAAGTGCCTCAAAGAGATGTTACATCGTCATACGCAAACCTTTCACTGTCCGATTTGTCGCGCTGTTTGTCCTATACCAGAACGCGGAGTAGCAGGATTTCCTACAAATGACTATTTAGCTCGACTAATTCGAGAATCGCCGGCAAAGAAAGTTATCCAAGAGATAAAGAACGCGCTTAAAGAGTGTAGCGAAAAGCTGGTAATCGTGCGACGAATTCACGACGAAGCTCGCATCGATTTGGAAAGGCAAGGAGAGATGATCAAGGAGAAAATTCACGAAGACTTTGAAAATCTTGTTGACGTTTTGCGAAAGCAAGAAGAACAATTGTGTAGCGAAGTAGACAGTTTGGTTGAAAAAGAAGAGAAGAAACACCCAGCGTGTTTTCTATCATTGCAAACAGAAACGTTATTGACTCACATCGAAGGTCGCATAAAGCTTAGAGATATACTGGATATTGCGAACGACAAAGAGCACTTGATGAACAGAATCAGAGACGCTAAAGTCGCCTGTACTAAACTGAGTCATCTGCATTCTGCGGAAACCGAAAAACCCAAAACTTTGTTTAAGTTTATAGGCAACAAAGAAGTCCTTCAATGCGTCAGTGGGAACATGTTTGGTTCAGTGACTTTGAAGGGACACGAACCTTCAAACACGCTAATTCAATCACCTGTTTCAGAGAACTTACAAAGCCTTGATGTGTTAAAACCGGGTACAAGGTTTCATTCTTTGGACATCCCGCAACCTTTCAAGAAAAGATTTCAGCCTTTTGCTGTCGCTATGAACGATGAAGGCAGTGTTGCAGTAAGTGATCAAGGGAATCACTCAGTCTTGCTTTACAGCAAAGGAGGGGAGTTTTTAGCTCGAATTGGTGGTAGAGGTGCAAGCCAAGGGAGTCTTGAATCGCCGACCGGTGTGACGTTCTTGTCACGGCATCTGATCGCTATCGCCGATGGTTGCCTATTCGGGAATCCAGCGAGAATTCAAGCGTTCGACAGCTCGGGTCGATTCACTCGCTGTTTGGTTAAATTATACGTGAATTCTCATTGGTTCACGAGACTTTCAATGGGCAATAACGACCAGCTGATAGTGACATGTACCCCTGTGATGCCGGGTTATGATGCCTGTATTAAGGTGTTCAACACCAGCGGAGATGAAGTTCTCTGTTTCGGAACAGGACTATCAGGCAAACTTTTGCATCCTACCAAAGCTGTCTTGCACAACAACGAGTACTTCGTATCGGACGTGGACAAAAAGAACAATCGCTGCATGGTGAGTGTCTTTGACCAACACGGCAAATATCTGAGGGCTTTTGGCGAATGCATGCTCAAGAAAGACCCTAACGAGCACGCCTTTTATCCTCTGGTGATTGCATTGGATGTAGCTGATTTCAGGGTATTAGCCTACAGTGGATTATACAGGCTTGTGCGCTGTTATTTTCCTAATGGTGCTTTAGATTCTTACTATAATACACTGGGAGGGGTAACTGATATGGCGGTCACCGGGGATGGGAGAGTGTTTGTTGTTTGTGGAGGTGCTGGGGAGTTTCCTCATAGTGTGCAAGTAATTTTTCACTACTAACAGGCAATTTAAAGGGAAAGGAAGACTCGATGCTGCCAAAAATATTCGCGCGCGTTTAGCCAGCGATTTTAAAGATATGCTATGTTCATTTGTCCTTATTCTGTTAAATCTACATGTAGGAATGAAAATATGAGCCAAAGTAGCGCAGATGGAACAGATGAACCAAACCTGAAAAACAACTTGTTTTATATAAAGTGTTAATGAAATATTTTTATTAATAGATATGCATTAAACTCCTTTTAGTAACTAGGTCACTGCGGTTATTTAAGTGAAGTATTTGGTTTTTATTCCGTGATCCCAACGGGTTTGTTTACAGTGTATAGAACCAAGACAAAACTTTACGCTCACGCAATAATTCCCCGTGCCTCGCAGTTGTGGAATATATAGAACGCATAATAGCTTGATGTTGTTTTTAAATAAGTGTCCGGGAACTACAGCTTAGCTGTACAATAAGTAACGTCACTTTCAAAAAACAACATCTATCGCGTGTTTTTTTTTTTTAATTAAGAAGTAGCCTAGTAGCTTCTGTTACGAAAAGTTTTATGCTATGCATGTTTGGGGCTTTGTTCATTCTCTTGGGCTTGAAATTGGGGACATTTATACTATAGTGGGGTTCTATAGTCGATCGGACTAATTTTTTAGAGATATTTTATGTAAATAAATCCAAAAGTCCACTATCTTTAAGATTGTTGGTTTGTTTTCGCTTTGAAAATATTCTTAAACTTTTCGTGTCAACATTTTCAGAGGGCAACTAAAAAACAACAATAAAGAGTCTTAACTTGAGTTTGACTTTTTAACAACAGTATCTTCTCGAATCCCTCTTTTTCCGTCTGACTGTATGGCTTTTCTTCAGTCCTTTTTCTCTCTTTTTTAATATATGTCCAGGTGTGAACTCTGTCGAAAAAATTTGCCAGCAATTTTTTTTTTCGCAATAAATTTCTTTTTTTGCGACAGAGTCAAATCCTGGACATAAAGGCTCTTTTTGTCCTTCCCAGTATTCCACGCGATACTACTTACTTGTCCCAGGCTTTTCTCATTTTAGATAACAAAAGAAAGGAGACTGGGAATTAGTGTGTACTTATGTAAACAAAAAAAAAAGAAACCGAACTGCGTGATTGTACAACTGTTAATCTTCCCACCGACAGATTTTTAGGTTTGTTTACTTGCCCCAGTCACCACTACCATCAGAACTAATTCAGTGCGTTTCACCTGTGGATATATCATACCAATAGAAAACGAAAATTTATAGGCGATCTGGGCGTGCGGTAGCGTGGCCGAGCGGTCTAAGGCGCTGGTTTAAAGGGAACCTCCACTCTTACTACAGAATAAGTTTAAATGGAATAAAATTATGTTGATAAGCAAATTTGTTCGAAATTTGTCTTAAAAAAAGTGTTTATATCAGGAAAAGTGAATTTTATAATCGCTTATTTTCACTTTCAAATTTCGCGGGCGCCGCCATCTTGAATAATTGTGACGTGTTACGGTTGCTCTATTGTTCTGACACAAAGAAGGGCAACCATTACACGTCACAATTATTCAAGATGGCGACGCACCAAAATTTGAAAACAAAAAATAGGCGAATCTAAAAAGTTATTTCTTTCGGATACAAACGCTTTCTTTAAAAATATTTTAGATTGACTTGACTGTAACAGTTATTTCCTGTGAAAAGTTATCTTTTTGTTTGGAGGTTCCCTTTTGCACCAAACCGCTGCCATGGTCACTTTTTACTCGAAAAAGATTTTCATTCTTTTGAAAAATTAATTAATTATGACGCGACGCATCAACGATCAAACGCTTCTAACTGCTTCTGTATTTTTAAAAAATTCAGAGGAACTCACTGAAAAAGCTTTTTTGTCTGAAAAAGACAGCAAATATGAGGAGAAAGCCTGCGTTAGAGGCAGCCAACATGTCGGTGGACACGCCAATGTGCAACTCTCCTTTGCATCCTTTACACGTTACATCCGTGAGCCAAAAACAAAAAAGTACTTCGATAATTCATATATTGAGAAAAAAGGATGTTGTCGCCCGATATGGGACTTGAACCCATGACCCTCAGATTAAAAGTCTGATGCTCTACCGACTGAGCTAACCGGGCGGCTCCCAATCGTTAAATAACGATTCTTGTGCTTCATTTGTAAAAACAGTGCAAAGAAAGACCCAACGCTTTGATTGTCAGTGAAAAGTAATAATTAACGGGCAAGGTTGGTTAATTCTGCTCTTCTTCTGTTTTTCGGTTTTTATCCTTCCGTTTAACCCTTGCACGTACACGCAACGTCATACCCCCACCGCGCTTCAGGGGGTGTTGATGGAACCTTCCCCCCTTGCGTTTTTGATATGTCGCAGAATTTCAAAACGATTTTGCCCTCAGTGGAAAGCCTTTGATCTTCTCTACAAGAGGAGGTATATTTTATGGGTGGTGGCGTTGCTGGAGGTCTGTGACGTCACCAAACATGTTCGCCATCTTGGATTTTATCAAGAATTAGGAATCAGGTAAAAACAATGAGAATTAAAAGTTTTTTGCGCTTATCATGTAAAATAACACATAAATAATTACTTTGCATCACTTTCTCCGCAAAATTTACTTTCATTCCTAAAAAAAGTTGAAAAAACATGTATTTTCACTCAAAAATGGCTTGACCACCTGCCACTTATGGCGTCACATCTCGTAGCCATAGAAACTGACCATCACTAAACTTGTCTCAAAACGTGTGCGAGGGATGAACGAACAGCCACAGAAAACTACAGGTAGTGATGTTTTATCGTCTAGGAAAAAGCCTTGTACGTCCGAAGGTTAAAACAGCAGTTTTGCAATAGCTCGTCCTTATTGTTGCTAGGCAACGGATAGTCACAGTAATGTGCTGGTGTTTCACGTATTTAGAAGGCAAATTTGAACAGTAAGACGCAACAAGCTTGTCCGATTGAGCACATGGTAAACGAACGAACTGCGCATGCACAAAGTTCGGGATATAACAAATGCTAAACAAATGCCCCTTTTGAAATAAAAGAAAGGAAAAACAAAAAGAAGCCTAATACAAAGTTAACTGATGTAAGAAGCGCATGCAAACAGTTCTCGTAATTCTGGTAAAGCTATAGAACATCTGAGGAGGTTTGCGCTTTCTGAGTGGGTATCTTCGCTTAAGCTTTAATTTTCGGGGGTTGACGTTTGTAGTGTCGGATCTTGCACGGACAAATCTGACGATGCACAGGAGGTATCAGCAGGTGCAAAAAATGTGCGTGAAAGGGAAAATCGTATGAAACACTTAAGTGATGAGGACATCGCTTCTAGGTGCTAGACCTCGTGTCTTCCCTCCCCGGGTGATCGTTTTTCTGCACAGACGACTGAAAACCGAGATTATAACTGTACTGGGCGTGCCCCATGGGCAGCCCAGTAATTTGTAAAGGCAGTCACTGTATGTATTTTTTTCTGTTACTTTTTCTCCCAGTAATGGGTAAGCCAGGTGTATTCTAAATAGCAGGGTAAGGTGCATACGGTAGCGTGGCCGAGTGGTCTAAGGCGCTGGTTTAAGGCACCAGTCTCTTCGGAGGCGTGGGTTCGAATCCCACCGCTGCCATAGGCACCTTTTAATCGAAAAGAGTTTCATTTTTGTTTTTGAAAAATTAAATAATCACGACGCAACGCGTCAACATTCTACGCTTCTAACCTCTGCAGTCTCAGAGGAACTCACTGGAAAAACCATTTTCTCTGAAAAAGACAAAATATCGAGAGAAAGCCTCCATTAGACTTAACCAACATACCAACAACATATCGGTGGCCACATGCCTATGTGCAACTCTCCTTTGCATGCTTGACACGTTACATGCTTGAGCCACTAACAAAAAATGTATTTCAACAATTCATATCTTGAGAAATAAAGAAAACATGTTTACCGCCCGATATGGGACTTGAACCCATGACCCTCAGATTAAAAGTCTGATGCTCTACCGACTGAGCTAACCGGGCGGCTCACTCTGAAACTCAAGTTAAGTTTGAAGCTTCTAACGATTTTTTTAAAAATCGTTAAAAGCTTTAATACGTTGAAAACACGGAAATGAATTGCCTAACACTAGTAACACATTGCGAAATTTCAATTTGGCCCTCAGTACAAAAAATGATATTATTAAAATGCAAGGTTTGTTACTTCTACTCTGCTCTATTTTTTTTATTTTTATTCTTCCGTTCAGTACAGCTAATAAATTCGTTGGGGAGAAAGAAAACCGAAAGCAATTGTTTGGCAAATTTTCCGCGAACGATATCCCAAACAAGTTCTCTGTTTCGTCAAAGTCAACACAAACGGAAAATTAGAGACAAGAATAAAGGGTATTATAGACAGATGTAGTGATCTGACATGTACCAAGAAGTATGCTTTAACCGAGGGACCGAAGCAGGGGGGGGGGGGGGGTTAAAGTGGGCCACTAGCTCAGCCCCCCCCAGTCATTTTATGCTTGTTACGGGCCTGATATTATCAACACTGAAACGCTTCTGTCTTTTTACAAAATGGAAAAAAAATCTTACTTAAACTCACAGGAAACTTGATTTTAAAAAGACAGAAAAATGAACAAAAAAAAAAAGAAAAAAGCCTGCGAAAACAGCTGTTTCTCCTCGCTCTTCGCCGCTGAGGACGTTTCGCGAGGAATAACGTCTGCGACTCGGCGACAGAAATTCGACCAGGGGAAACGTAAAATTGATGTGGAATAGCCTGCGTAGCAGGCGCAAAAAGGGGAGAGGGAAGGGGAAGAGAGAAAAGCGCGAAAGAGGGGAAAAGGGAAGGGAGCCCTTACCGTCTTTCCCCAATCCCCCTCTTTTTTCCCTTCCTCCCTATCCCCTACCTCTTCCGACGCCTCCTACGCAGGTTACATGTAGAACCCCAGACTGCCGGATATATTATGTAAACATTGATTTTCTGTCCTTGAGGCGCAGACGTTCGTCCGCGCGAAACGTCCCCAGCGGCGAAGAGCGTGTGAGAAAATTATTGCGTCATTGTGGTGGGAAAACTCGTCAG